AAACATGGCCACCCTCTGAGCACCAAGGGCTTGTGCAATACTGCTGTTCGATCACGGGGCTGCTGGCTGGGCTCCAAGCACCCCCTCGCTGTGCAAAAAGTGCAAACCTGCCCGATGACACTAGGAACACATCCCCATGACTGCCCAAGTGGCATTTCTAGGCTTGCTCCCAGAGAAACAAGGGGCTGAGGGAACTGAGCATGGCTGCTGCCGTTAGTCTTGCTGCAAGACCAAAGTTTTCACAGAGGAAGGTAGAAGGGTATCTGTTCTGCTAACAAACAGTAATGCTGTCAGCTTCCAGAAAGAAGACAACACTGTCTTGGCTACACGGCTGTGGATTGAGCAGGGCAGAATAACTTATCTTCGGACCAGTTTCTGCAAAGTTGTACCTCCTGTAGGCTTCAACCAAACTAGTTCCTTGTGCGCCATCACTGGAGTTAACGCCCCCTTCTGCAAGCTCACAGCAGTGACCACATTCATCCAAATCCCACACACACACATACCTCTCACCTGTTTGTTTCCTCTTTCTTCCCCGTGAGCAGCTCTGGCTTCTCCCTGCCCAGGTTTGCACCAACCTGCACCTCCATCCTGACATGGCACCCATCACCAACCAAGGGGATCGGGTCAGTTACCTGTATTGTTGCCAATGCGGTCACAAACCCAGTCCCCGTGGCAGTCACTTGTGCACTGCTCTGTTTTACACACGGGCCTCAGAAGGCAGCCACAGCAGTGGCTCACCTTGGGCAAGCTACTGTTGGTACCAGCTGGAACGTTGCCAGGCAACAGACAAAAAAGTTGTCCAGGGAGATGCCCTGGCCCAGGAGACTCTCAGGATAGACGGATCAGCTCAATTTGCAGGCTAACAGGACTGCAACAGGAGGTTTAATCAGTTCACTCTGTTAATGCATGACATTTACCCAAAGATAACACTTAGTCCTCCCTACGGCAGACTAGTGCAGCCATCACTTCACACTGCTCTGCCAGGCAGAATCGCTGAGCAGCATTTTCAACTGAGACTAGATTAAAAAGCAAACTACCAAGATAAGGGGCTACAGAGCCTTCACTTGGTATTACTCCACCCCAGATCCACCAGTACAGCTCAAAATATCTATTTCTTTGTAATAAACAATGGAGAGGGCTGGGGGAAGAGCTAGGACTACTACTAGTTACTGCTTGGATTTCCATGGGAAACCAGTACACACAACAGCCCTTTTTACTTCCACTGAAGAGATTTTGGCAACAGACATGAAGACGACAATTGCCGTTTGTCCTGCCTCTGCACAGGGCTCTCACAGTACATATGCAAATCTAGTCATCAAGTACAAAATAGCCAATTTACAATACCTGATTGGATTTTTAAGATTATATTGTGCATAAGACTAAAGTTGGGGGTAAGTTTCTCTAGTGCAAGCAGGCGTGAGTAGATTTGAACCTTAGATCACAGCCCCTAGAGTTTATGCTCAGACCCCAGGAGGAACCTGTAAACTTTGTTTCGCCTTCACCGTCAACGGCATCTATGAGTTCTGTTTAAACCAGCAGCACCCGTGGCGAGTAGCTCGCTGCGGAGAGGAGCACATTTACATCAGTGCAGAACACAAAACAAATCTGTGGCATTCAAAAGATGAGGAAATGGGGGTGGGGGTCCTCTGGGCTGCAGCCATCTTAATTGTCTAAACTGAAAGGTGAGTGAATGAAAGCCAGCTCTGTGTGCCCCTGTGTCAGCCTACACGTGCAGAGCAGCTGCAGAAGTGTTTATGCTAAAGATGCATCCAACTATCTGGAAGTCAGTTACAGGAACGGCTCTGTGTAGAAATCCCAGTGTTTGCTAGCACACGACTGTTCTTCCAGCTGCACAGCAGTGTAGTGTAGAAACAGGAGGGATGTCCACTGGCCAGTAACCCTTCATCCCAAGCATCCAGGACATCCCAAGAGCCAGGCACTGCTGCCAAGGGTAGTACCATGAGGACACACAGGATTCCTGAGACAGATCCCAAAGCCTGTCAGAAGAAGTCAGAATTCGAGTGAAGCATCAGCTACTCAAAGAGTTTGTTACATCTGAATGGGTCAGCTTAATTCAGTGTCAGGTGGCTCAGGATAGCCTCTGCTGGCAGCTGGAAGAGCCACTTGTTCAAACAACTCAAATCACTATTGTTTCATAATGAGGGGGGGAAAAAACAAAACAAACAAACAAAAAAACAAACCCAAAAGAGTGGTTGTTACAATTATCCTTCATTCAGTTGTACTGGATGGGGCCCCAGAGGCTGGTGGAGATCTGGGAAGCCCTCACAGCTCCTGCAGCAGGAGATGCAGTGTTCTGTCCTCTAGTCTTCACTCCGAGTAATGCATGATCGACTCCACATAGTTCCCTGGGAAAAGCCCTGTCACTCCATTCATGACCCCCTCATACCAGCCGTCATCATTTTTCTTGATGACATAAATGATGGCACCTTCCTGAAACGAGAGCTCATCTTCTTTGTCCTTCGTGTAGTCATAGATCGCCACCACTAGGAAAGAACAGAGCATGACTGTTAGCAGAGGTTCAGGGAGGAGGAGGAAAATCAACCTACCGCGTACAAACTCCTCCACGTTCAAGGCAGTCTCAGAGAACTGCACTGCCTCATCTCCATGTATGCAGAATGGCCTCCTGAGGCGGGCAGTTTCTTCCAACCCCTTTTATAAGAGCTCAGGCTTTGAAGCACATGAACCAGGACTACTTTAACTCTTCTGTTACTATTTCCAGATCCACCAGAGGAAAAGTTTACAAAGGTATGATGAACTTTTGGTGTGGAATGATACCAAGAGGTGGATGTAACTCTCCATGGCTATCACCACGCAGACCTACTCCAAGATTCATGTATTAGATAGATGTGCTAAACCAGATCTCAGCACAACTAACAGTCAGCAGAAAAACATGGAAGAAGGGAGCGTAATAAGAGCTCTCTTCAGATTGTGATCTGAAGCCAAGGCTAATGTCCCAGACTTCCACCTACCTTAGCTACCTCCACATTTAAATCTGTAAAATGCGTATGTGCAGTCCCAGTAGCTAGAAGTCACCTCAAGTGCCAAGGTGAGTGAAACCCAGTTAGGAGCTGGGAAGAAGTAAGGTGGTTTTCTGAAATAAAATGTACACCTACTACATCAGGACATTTTTACTGAAGGCACAAAAGCTGTTAGGAATGTCAAAGAAATTGGACAAAGCACTGGAAATATTAAAGAGAGCGTTGTCCTGAAATGGCAGAAAATAGACATCAACTTGATACATTTTTCCATTCTCAGTCCTATCATTATGTGTTCCATACAGAAAATTAGCTATGCTGGACTCTGAATACTTTAACAAATAGCATCAGTCACTGCTTTGAGCACTTGGCAACGAAACATGCAGTGCTGCCACTGAAACAAAATGGATTTTGGACAGGGATCCTAAAATCTTGTACTGGGGATAGAAGGGAAGATACTCTAAACTAAAGCAAGGACAAAAAATGAACAGCCTGTGTTCACGAGCACAGTGTCCAAGAGTCCTACTAAACTCATAATTCTTTTCAAAAGGAAGGTCATTTTCTTTTGAGGGAACAAAGGAATTAATACAAATATTTACTAGGGAAACCTGTTTCCTGAAGAGATTATAAAGTAAAATATACAAAACCAATCCCAGTGAGGAATTGGAGAATGTACAGAGATTTTTAATTTTTTTTAAAATAAATATCCCAAAGAGGAGATTCCTATCATTTGATCAGAGCATATTTAAAAAAACCACATGTTGATGGTTCCACGCATACGCCAGCACGGTTGTTAAGTAACTCATTCTAACTAGTTTTAGCATACCATTCTAAGGAAACAAAGCACAAATGAAGAAATGAGTAAATTTTTAGCTTGAAAAACAGAAGTCAGTATATGAACACAACACATTAAATTCAAGTCCTTCAAAATTTCTTTTTAACTGCCTCCTAAACCTATTAATTTAAAAACTTTTCTTCCTAGAGTCACTGTGCCATTGTTCTTCATTCTCTTGATAATAATAATCCAAGGATCACGGTACCTTCCAATTCCTTCCTTTATAATTTTTGAGTCCTTTCTGATACTGAATGGATTCATTATTGATTCCTGATCGCAAGTAGGAAATTCTTCCCTAAGTTTGTGATGAAAATTTGCTTCTTGTAAAGCCTCTTACAAAATTACCTGAAGCCTGGTGTTCGTTTTTACATAACCATTGCTTCCTCCTGCATGTTACTTTTGTATTGTCAACATTCCTCTCTCTAAAAGACTGTTTAATCCTCCTGTCTGTAGTGCCACCAGTTCAAGCTGTGAGCTTGTCACATACCACGAGTTACCAGGAGCCCAGGCCAGTATCGCAAAAAAGACCCCAGATGAGACAGGAAGCAGCAATACTGACTCAGGAGGTGGCATCCTTCCCTGCGAGACTGAGCCATGATCTCTTTTAGTTTCTATCTGAATACATTTCAATTAAGATATGAAAACCCAGAATTACTCATTTAGGTTGATGTTCCTCCTGTCAGTGATCTTTGGTTCTTCAACAATCACACAGTTTGGCTGAACTCTGCTACAACAAACTGACCACAAACATAGGCCACACTGATTATCCACCTGACATCCAACAGCTGTGACCACACACTTTCTCTATGTGGTATGAGGGCCATTTTTCCTTCTGGACGCCCCTTTTGGTTCATCTGATTTGCAAAGTTGGGGCATTTTCTTACCTTTTCACGCCAACACCCAGGCACCCAGCTCAATGGGAAACTGCAGCATGCTTTCCTGGACCTTGCAGGTTGGCTGTTGCTAGTACAGCCATGTGCTAACATCTGCAAGTACAACATCCCCAGGAACTGTATTCTACCTAAGAGTTTCTCCATCTGTTCAAAATGGATCTGCTATTCACTTCCTTCCTCAGCTGTAGGTTAGAGCACGTCTAAATGTTACATAAACCTCCCACACTGCATGACCCCTTTACAGAACAGGATCACACCGAATCCCATCTCAATATATAGCAACCCTCCATCTTGGACCCCTCTGTGGTGTCCCAGCTTCTACATTCTCACTTTTGCAAAGGTCATCTACACTAATCCTGTCAGAAACACTTTCATATGACTGTTCGCTTATTTAAGTTCATAACAAAAGAACAAGCACAAATCCTAGAAATTACTACTCTACTTATTGGGGTTCATAGTGTTTGAACAGCCACTTCCTTCCATCAGTCCTGTCCACTTTGAATTGCGTGGCACGGAATACTATTTATAGGATCTTAAGGACTTGCCATAGGAGTAATTATTTTGCAGAAGATAAAGCGTTATTAGCTCACAGCAGGATAAGTATACACATTCTTCCAGCATGAAAGTCCTCTTTTAGCACAGAGCTTTTCATTAACTCTACATCAATATGAGACAATGTTTGGTTTCCTATACTTTCGCTTTTCTGCCGGAAAAACGTTCCGACTAAAAGCCTGACTTTCTCCAGCTTATCTTTAAAGACTCCCATTACAGTTTTGCTATCCCATGTGATTTTTACTGTAAATATCAAACTACAAGTGCCTGGACTGCCCGCTGAGATGGAACAGATGTGTGCATATATGCACCTATATAAATTATTTTAGTTCACAAGCTCATAGAAGTCGACAGAAAAGCAGATCAGAACTATATGCTGTAACTCAAATGTCATTATTTCTTCAAATAGAAAGGTGTTTTCCCAGGCCACATGCCCCATGTTTTCATGGCTTCTCTTCCACACAAACACACGTACACACCCCCCCTCATATTAGTATGACACACTATAAACAGACGACACACATCAGGGTCCTCTCTTTTTCTCTTTTGCTCCTAGCTGAAATGCCACTGAGGATTTGCTGAGGCCCAGGTGGCAGGAGTAATGGAAACATACAAAAGACAGCAATACAAATGTAGAATTAGGCTAAAGACTGTCTTATGCCTGGAAAAATACAGAGAAAAATCTTGAAACTCACTCTCCTATCAAAAAGTAACATGCCTGCAGTCTTCATCCAGCACAAAATACATCAGCCAGAATGAAACTGAGCAGATACTGTGTGTTCTCAGAACTGCCTGATAAGGAGGATTTCATTAAGTAATGTAGCTCATCCAGTATTTGCTGAAATGACCTGCACTGGTCCCAACCTGAAGAAATTTGCCATCCTCCCCCAAAGAAAGAAATGCAACATCAGGAACACCACCCCACACCAAAACTTGATTTTGTGAAGCCAGGTAACTAATACCAACAACCAGGGATACCCTCCAAACTGCACAGCAAAAAGAGTGCCTGGTATACAAGATCCCTTTTTCCCCCATCCTCTCCCACAGAAATAAACTTCCCTGACAAGAACAAGCTGAAGCAACTTTTAATCAAACAAAGAGCCTGTGTGCATCTACAGAATAACAGTGACACTTGCTGTCCGTCACGGGTGTGGAGAGGTCCACAGATAAACTGAGTCATGGAAACACCCTGCAAGTCAAGACACTTTGTCTGACAAATGGTCTCGGCTTGTCAGCAAAGCCTGGGTACTCCTTGCACTAAACACACCAGCTAGGCAGAGGGTGGGGGAGTAAGAAAAAGCCTCCCACATACTTGTCCATCTCCCTCAGGAACAGTAATATTTTCTTTGGGCTGGAGTTGGCAGAAAGTGCCTCTTCCGTCTTCTTTCTCCCCCACCCCTCAAGTCCTGCGCTGGGTTTATCTTTGTGGCATTCTTGAATTTCTTTCCCTGATGCAGACTGAGTGTGTGAACGGTCACTCAGCTGAGATGCCTGGCTGCTTTGCAACGTTAGATTTTATATCACCCTTTATGAGAGGGCTCCCGTTTCACAGAATACCAGGCAGCAGATTTTTTCATATTTAAATGCCCCTAAGCCATTTACCTACTCAGTTTATTTTACTTGTAGTTTTACTCCAGCATGTTTCCACACACCTGCTTCAGAACTGGAAGACATCTAGATGCAGCTACGCAGCAATGCCTCAGTTAGTCCGACACGGACCCAGGGCTTTTTAGCTCAGCACAACCCCCTACCGATGCAGCATTGCAGCTTCCAGAGCCCCAAACACATGTGGCAGCACTCCTCCAGATGCACCCATACGTTCAAAGTTCAAGTGCAACTGCAGCATTGATCCATTCATTTTTGACCACAGATGAGTTTCATTATTAGGATTAAGCAGACTACTGAAAGCTGAGTCTTAAGTAGGTTACAGAGCATTTTGCAAATATGTAATTAGCCAGCTAATCATTGTCTTCCCTTTGTGGAGAAAGGGGTGAAAGAGTCGGACTCGGAAGAGTAACTTCTGTTCTTTAAGTTGCCATTTGGAGGAGCACCTCTACCACAACACCAAATACTGGCCACTGGGATGGCAGGAGCTTATATAAAATGTTGTAACGAACATGACCGTAACACCTCTACTAGCTCTAAACCTACCCTTTTCTAAGTAGGTCCTTGGTGCCCAAGGAGGGTCCTCCTCAGCATAGGGATCACTGTACTCCACCACAGCTGCTTCCTCTTCCTCATAATCCTCTGGAGGTGGGGGTGGAGGTGGCGACTCATCAAACACCGGCTCATCCACAGGTGGTGGCGGGGGAGGAGTATCTGAAACTGAAAATAAGCAATAGTATAACCTTGAAAAATGTCTCTAGAATCATGGTAGCAGGTTGAAGTAACACTCCCTATCCCAATTAGTTGCACTGGAACCAACAGCTAGAATGTGTGGAAATATACAATAAAATTCAGAGAAAGAAGGATCAGGTTCCTCCAATAAAATTATTTCCTTTTCCCTCCCTTCACAATTTCAGACAAACTTGCAAATGCTGTACATAAGGCAGAATTTTCTGGCTATATACAGACAAATCTTCCATCCATTCAAAACAAAAGCCACATCCAGTAATAAATCATAGCACAAGGAAGCAGCAAACTTACTGTTTTCTTGAACTCTGGCCACAAATCCCATTAGCGGTAACTGTGGAGTTACCTGTAGGATGGAGGGGGGAGGAGGAGCAAGGGATGCTGCCACAGAAATTAAAAAGAGAGAGGCATTCAGTTAGAAACACCACAAAGCAGCAAAGAGGAAAGCAGACATCATCACCGCTCAGACAGTGTAGCAGTCTGCCAAGAAGTGGAGATAAAAAGGCTGACATTCAAAGAAAAATGGCTCAGGTGGTTTAAGCATATTGCTAATCCTCACTTCAAGGAGATTTCTCTATTTTTAAAATTTCCAAGCCAGCTCTTTTTCATAAGATTAAGTATCCATGCTGAAGTATTTTTGTGATCTGACTAAGAGATTCCCTTGAGTTGAAGTTTATTGCTACAGCAATATAGCACTTTATGAACAGACCTAACTAACAAATATATCAAGAGGATTCTCTCCCTATAATCCTCCACCTTTCAGATCAAATTGATATTTATAGAACTGACTTCAGTAACAGCATCCACGAATGCTTAGTAATGAGAATTAATACAGTTTTCTCCAAAACACAGGCCAAAAAAGCCATCAAATGAGGCAGTTATTTTAGGCAAAACAGAAAACGTTGCCTTTGAGAGCTGAGCATACTTGGAAGACACAGGGCTTCTGACCTTATTGGTGGAACAAAGCGCACTGTGCTGCTGCCAAACAACAGTGCCTATTCCAGATGTGCTGCCTCGTGTCCTTCCCACCTGATTTCACGGACCACTGCACTGAACTCTGAACAGCCCTCTTACCAGTACCAGAAGAGCTGTCTTTGTACAATACAGGGGAATTCGCATTTAAAGACACTCTCAGCCAGCTGCAGATGTTGTAACACTGAACTGTGGTTTCAGCCAGGAATGAAAGTTTCAGTTATTTAGTTAAGTTGAAAAAATAATTAACTAGTTTTATCTAGTTTTAGTATCACTTTGCAAGAGTAATGCAGTAATAGTCTTTAAGCAAGTTACAAGATTAATTTTCAGAAACCACACCTCAGGAAAAGCACAACTAAATAATTTTCTCATTAATGGTGGCATACAAGAACATTTAGTCACGTCCAAAAGAATGAGGGAAAAAGGTCTACACTTCACGTACCAGTACATTTATTTAGCTTGCAGAACAGAACTAAATAAATTTCAGACTAATTCCAGAGCTGGTAAGAAAACTGCCAGGTATGATATAGTATTTTTCAGAATTAAGTCACATAATCATAGGAAATGAAAAGAACTCCAGGGCATTTAAAATTCATGTCTCAAAATTTCTTCTGTTTGCTTATTTCAGTAACTATTATCTGAAGTACTTTAAGTTTCTTCTGTCACTCACATTCAAACTCCTTTCACAACCACACACCCCAAACCAAAAAAAGAGCAACCATCCTTTTTGTTGCGAAAATATCCTGTACCTCCATATAAAGCAAGCTCCATTATCTCACCATTTAATTGAATATTTCTTGAGAAAATCTGAAATATGTTTCTAATTACAGCTTCTTTGACTTGAATGACATGACCTCTGAGAGTATTTATTCCTTCAAGTGTAACCACACTAGCTGAAAATAGATTTGGTCTTGCAGTTTTTCAAAGCAGGAAAAGGGAACTTGAAGTCCTACTGAAATGCAGTAACATTCATGAATTCAGCATTCTTGTGCAACTACAAAATCCCTGCCTTTTTAGTTATATATGCTATAAGAACATTCAGTTTCAAAATGTTTCCTCTGTTCACAGAATCACAGAATGTTAGGGGTTGGAAGGGACCTCAAAAGATCATCTAGTCCACCCCCCCTGTCAGAGCAGGACCACCTAGAGTAGGTCACACAGGAACAGGTCCAGGTGGGTTTTGATCATCTCCAGAGAAGGAGACTCCACAACCTTACTGGGCAGCCTGTTCCGGTTCTCTGTCACCCTCACAGTGAAAAAGTTTTTCCTTATGTTGATGTGGAACCTCCTGTGCTCCAGCTTGCACCTGTTGTCCCTTGTCCTGTCATTGGCCATCACCAAGAAAAGCTTGGCTGCATCCTCCTGACACTCACCCTTTACGTATTCATAAACATTAAGGAGGTCACCCCTGAGTCTCAAGAGACCCAGCTCCCTCAGCCTTT